CTTTTTTTTTTTTTTTTTTTTTTTTTTTTTTTTTTTTTTTGATTCATGTCATGACCTCTTCCGGAAATTTATCTACTCATACATTTAAATGCTGTGGCTTTGGATAACAAACATAGTATTGTAAATACGGATAATTTTTATGGATTAAGACACAGCTTGTTCAAAGTGTTCTTATGTTATATTAATAATAAGGTATGATGTCTAATCTGACTTTAAATGTAACTTTCAACCAGGTATTTAATCTGTGGCAGTCTGGTGGAGGTCATCACCCAGAAAGCTATAAACAGTGTCATTCCGTCATTATGTTTTTGTATTTCTGTTAAAAATGCCAAATGACTTTTATAGTAACCATTAAGTCTAAACTTAAGTGCGTAGAGACGATATCATGAAGCTGTATACTGTGAAATTCCGTTGTACATGTATCATAGTGAAAGGTTTTTGAGAAAATATAATCTTAAGTTCGGTACGTCTTTTTATCGACATGCACCCGATATATTTAATGTGTGTTAAATTTAGCCATTATTACCCTCTGATGAAGTAGTGGACTGCACAGTGGAAGCAGCAACGCCAGGCAGTGTAGTAAAAGATGACACTGAACAAAAGAGAGAAATATAAAGAGTATATTTTGGCAAAGTCGGACCTAGGACATTAAGTATGACTGTGTGGGGGGGGGGGGGGGGGGGAGGGGGGAGGGGGGCGGCTATGAGTGAATTACAGCATACACACACACAAACACACACCAATCACACTGTGGACGTGATATATTTGGTTGGTTGGGTTTACGTATAATTGCCAGTTATTATTGCACATTTTGCACAGGTTTTAATTTGGGCTACGTGTACATCTGAAATGACACTGAATATAAGGTTTTTGATTTAGGCAACAGTCCCTTGTGAGCTTATACAAGATCGTCAGCGAGAATTTGAAGTTCAAGATTAAGATATGCCGAATGATGGTTGAAACTTGTTGCTTTGAAAGTAACAGGAATGGGTTTTCCAACTTAACCATTGTTTTTATCAGGGCTGATAAATACAACCAGTTTTTAAGTTTGAAGGTCCTTGTTTTTTTTTCTTTTTTCAATCATAATTATCCTTAAAATTCCTAAATCTAAAGAAATATTTGTACACTCTGAAGAGATTCAGTGCCTTCAGTCAGATCTACTGTATCGAAGCCCATTGTATTCCGTCGCCTGTTTCAAATGTACAACTTTTACCTGTAAAACTAGTTACAGCATTAAAACTAAGTTATATTTGCCCAATGCTATCTAATTTAAGTAAACGTACTCACAATCTTTCGTCAGTGGTAATGCATGGCAAAGACAGCTGTTCCTTTTATCTCTCATACAGTGTATAACCCAGTTTATCATTTCATTTAGGGGAAGGTTAGATTTACACTTCACACAAGGGTAGGCGTGCCACTCAGCTGTGCACATACCAAATACGTGTTAAACTATGGACATTAAACGCTCTGCAACAACACGTTAAAGGTGAACTAATGCATGGTACATGTAGATATATATAAGTACAGATAGATATATTAACAGACAGAGTAACAGTTGACAAGGCTGACAGACAAACAGCACACTGAAATAGGTATACCTGTAACACAGCGATCTAGTTCCTCGGTCCACGTATTTGTCGTCCTGTTGCAAATAATTCTCTGTTTATTAAGAGTTGGTTTGCTTTCTCGCACAAGTCCCTCGTTACATACCAAGGTGGCGCGTGTGGCAGAGTTCATTTTCAATTTTCCGCCCTCAAAAGGTCCGTGTAATGTCGGACAGGGACCGGAAACTGGAGGTAAATAAAAAAAAATAACTAGACCGTGTTATTTAAAACCAATTAAGTCAGTAAATTTTATGTAAATTCGAATAGCATGTTCACATGAATTTGTCAATCTTTGAGAAAGAAGTGAATCTTCAAAAACATGTTCACAGTCAAACTACTCATTCAACTAAAGTTAAGCGAGTTAATCAAATCAATGAAAAGTCTCTCTTTTACTCGACTTGGTAAGGATCTGATTTCTGAACAACATGTTTTCTATCATTATATGTTAGCTGCCATTTTAAGATTGGAGAGGGCCACATCTTATAATTTTTGTTTTGTAGTCTGTCTTATTATTATATTAACCATTTATTTCACAAACGCCGCGCTACAAAAACGTTTCATCGCTGCTTAGAAACATCATAATCTTAAATCTCCTAGATTAATTCAAAACCGTTAAGAAGGAATAAAACCCAAAAGAGACACAAAATGGCCATAGTATTCTTTAAGCAAAAAGTTTAATCATACCAGAAAAACTTTTATTTTATAAAAACTTACTGTTATACTGAATGGAAAATTCACCCATACTTTGTATTGTTGCACGGTAGAGGATCACTGTAGTTTCATTAATAGGAAGTCTGTCCATTCTATTTTCTCCGCATTGTTTGAATATGGGGTCTTTTATAGCGCCATCTACCATGTTCTTTTTTATTCCAATTGTCAAAACATTTTCATTACACGACTTTAGCTTGAGCTTAGGGGTAACATCAATGGACATAGTTTGCCCTGTCTCCAGAGGAATAGTCCACAGACATCTGAACACTGAGTACCCTCCACGCGTTTCTGTTCTATACATCTCAGGATTCTCAGGTTGCCTGATATGACCCATGCTGTCCTTCAAGATTATTCCATCGGGTGTGTCACATGCCACTATTAAAAAAGAAATCAAAAGAAATTGGTAGGTCAAAATGTAAAATATGCTAATTTGGAAAGTAACAGAACTTATACGCTGTATTTGTCCAAGAAGCGTTCGCTGCAAATGCTTTCGTTAAACTTGCGATCTTATTTCAACATCTTTTCATTGCGAAACACTTTAACTTAATACATTTATCGGGATGTGGGGCCTAGCGGGTGTGAATATAAAGCATGGTTCGAAGCTTTGTAAAAGGATTTCGTACATTTGAGATTATTAGTAAAGATAACTTGTGACTCCAACAAAAATCTGTGATATTTGGTATACATCCCATTTCTTGAGCTGCATAAAATAAACAAGTGGCAAATTAACTTTGTTAGTATTCTTAGCCCGTTAATAAAATACGCTGATAATCATTCGAAAGAGAAATAATGAAAAATGAAGAATTGCTGAGCCAACGTGCTGCGCAGTCCCTGTTCTCTTGCAGATGCTGTAACTAGCTTCCGAAGTTATAGTGAATTTCATTTGTATCCTGTACGCGTTTGAGCGTTGAGTAATTTCCTTTCTTGAAATGCTTATATTTTCCAATAGCCCGGTTTTAAAAACGTAAAACCCACTCAAATTATTTTTTCTGAAGGGAACCTAATGTTAAAATTACCTTCTTAGAATATCGCACGGTCCAAGCCTAAGTATCTCGCGACTTCACACGAGAGATAAAAACCGTGAACATCATAAATGATACATCATATAGAAAACTTCCTACAACTTCTTTGTAAAAAGTGAAAACAGCCATCCCCAATTCTGCGCAGATGGGGGTCTAAATGTTTCATGAAACACTTAGAATTAATTTTCTGATTAAGGGTAGCACAAAACAGCCGATACCAGCTTAGCGGCGGGTCGAGCAATGGTTTGCGAGAAGGAAAATTTTTCTCGAGGATAATTTTATTGGGCGCGAAAATTCCGGACCGGATATCTTTAAATGAAATTGAAAATAGGTTGCCTATATAATCGTCAGATCAGTGCCGTCATAGGGCCTATTGTCGTCTAAAATAGTAAAAAACACGTTTCCCAGACCGCTTGGACGAACACTTAATTGCGACCACGCTCACCTTCGATCTTTATTTCAGCGAGCTAGGGTTAGGCTCTTTTGTTAGAAGAAAGTTTGTCACGATAATTGCCCGACGGGCAGGGTATGGAACTATTGTTAACAGAAACCAAACAGCGTATGGATGACAATGTTATTTCCATAGTTACCGAGCCAGGCCGTCCGTACAACCCGCAGCAACCCGGAAGGTAAGTAAGGGGACATTCCGGCGGTACTGTAATACATATTCGAAGCAAAAAATCAATCATACCATTTGTTTGATCAACCAAAACAACGATAATAAACAAAACCCCATCTCACAAAGCACACAAATTTGTTCAACGTTGCTTTTTAGTTGAAATTTTGTTTAGGCGTTGTTCAACAAAAGATTCATCATTGATTCAATGTTCACAACTTAATATTAAAAATTTAATGTTGTTTTGACGTTGAACAAAGATTGAATTGAAACACCGTCAAAATTTTCTCCGTTGGTAAAATAAAGGATTTAAATTAACGACTTAATTTCCATAAGTTCCAACCCCTAAGCTGGATAGGAAAAATGTGTTTTCCTTGCTTCAAAAACGGGAATCTGCTTTTTCGTCATGAAATTATAACGTTTAATATGAATTTAAAGCAAAAATTGAATACAGATCCGACATTCATTCAACCATTGTGTGCCTGTTGAGATATGATGCTCCCCCACTTTGCCAGATCGAAGATAAATAAAGAACCTATTCCTATTCGGGAAGAAATAACACCATGACATGAAGCGAGCACCCGGGGCGGTGTACCTGACACTGTGTCCAAGTAAGCTTCTATGGCAAAATTCAGCTTCAGGATGCGTCTGTCATTTGTGTTGAAGTTGATCAAACCTTTGATGAAATTCTCATCGAATAATCCAGCGACCACAGTGTCATGCAGTGTGACTTCCTGTCTTAGTGCATCAGACTGAGTGGCCATGGCCACAGCCCCATCACTGCGTCTACCAGAGTGATGGATTCCGAGAAAGTCGCCAGCTTTCACCAGAAACCTGTGCGAGTGAGGCACTGTGACATTTGTTTTTCCAACTGTGTGGGCTTTCAATTCGTGCTTCCCTATCAATTCATAATAATGCTCCGGGCCATTTGCGGGTATTCTCCACACTCCGACAAAAACACCGGGCTGCAGGTCTGTCCTGTAATACTTCCAAGCGGCAACCATGCCATCACATTTAAAAGTGTTGTTTAACATCAAGTAAACGTGATTAGTTCCTCTAGAAGAAAAGTTTCGGGGAGTCGTGCCTACTGGTGCTGTGCAATCTCATAAAAGTATGGCGATATTATTAATTTGCAGGTCATATCGAAACTTTTACAATACAAAATATACCCGTGGCTTTGACTTAAAGAATGGCTGTCTGCCTTTGGTCTATACAAAGACAAAGTTTAGATATACATAAAATCAATATTAATGGATTTTTCGTTTATAAGGGATATGTTATAAACACTGATAGCTAGGATATGGAATTCACTGACAATATTAACCCGATTCATTTTCTACGTGACATGACGTGGTGACTCGGATGACTTTACAGTAATACAGAGAAAGAGAAAGAAAGAGAGAGAGACCCACCTGATTCATTGTAGGGTAATTCCAGGTTACACAGTGCTGACATTGGTAACAGCGTCAGTAATACCAGTAACAGCATTCTCTCCATGATCAAACAGACGGGATGAACCGCTTCACTGTACAGGGTATTCTTCAAGTATCAGTCCCAACTGCTTCTCCTCCACAGCTCAGGAGAATGTATCTTCCGCTGTCAATAGACGATCATATACATCCTTCCTGCCATGACTCAAACATGGCTGAACATGTGTAGTAACTTGACAATAATTTTGGCCTTCTTGCGTTGCATCCGTTACATGTTCTACACGTACTTGTATATTACCGCTTATGAAATGAAGAGAGCCACTATGTAGGTCGACTCATTGGAATGTCAACAAAAGCAAAGTAGGTCGATTGCCGGCTGACTGCTTGCCTGTAAAATCAGAGATCAATATATGAGCAACAAAACCGGCAGGTGCGCTGATCGCTCAGACGTAAACGCTTCTGGTGGACAGGTGAAACCGCCATACACCATCTGTACCACACACCTCGTATTTCTATTGCTCAGATATAACCGAGATTTGTCCCAGAAAATGCACGTTATCTACTCTTTTCAACGTGTTGATTTCCTTTGACACATTTTCGTGGGAGATAACCTCTTGCACTTTCTAATTGAAATGTCAATACAGTGCTTTCTGTTGCTGGCATCAATCACACGTACTACATCACTGAGCTTAATCTACAGTCGACTTTTATATCAACCTGCCCTAATAACAAATAAAAAAGACGATAAAAACTCAGACACCCAAGGTTTGGTGAACTTATTCACAGAATGCGTTGAGATGAAATGGTTCAAATACTAGAGAGGTCCCTTCACATTTCTTATTACCTACCTCAATTTTATAGCACATATTGCCTGTTACACTGTCTTGTTCAGCTATATGTACATTAACCTCGCCATGCAGCTACAAATATATGTTGATGCCTAAGGTGATATCGTGTTTCACTGAACTTTTAGCTTGAGGTTCAGAGCACTATTTAATGCAAATCAGATCCACTAGTGCCCAGTGCTGTGTGGCTGAATACAGCACCGACACAAGCGTTACCGACATACAGCGAGACATATTTCCTAAATAATTTCATTTTATTTCTTATTTTCTAAATTGTGCTCTTAAGGGTTAATTTCAATTCGACTTAACTTAATTGGCTGGTTATATCTTAATACGAAGTTTGTGGGGTTTCTTTTGTTAATCGGGTGCTTTTTGTTCGACTGATATGTCCACTCATTGATCTACTTACCACTGCCTTTAGGAATCTTTTGTTGGCCGCCTTGGTCTATACACTGCAGCTGTATGAGTTCTCGAATAACAATTCGCTTATTTCAACTGACCCTCGTTTTATGCTGTTGTAAGCTTGCGCGCTGCATGCATTTGATCTCGTTCTGTTTTGTCTGTTACTCAATTGAACAGCTACCATCTCAGGTTGTTTCGTGTGTTGTATACGTAAGCTGTGCACAGGTACGCGCTACTGTGTTACTATAAAATAGACACGGCACGGACATGTACTGGCCTGTGCCTTACAGTGTGGCTTACTTTTAACGCAACTATATCTGCAAAGTCTTCGAATGCACTGTACAAAAAAATCTAAACCCTGCAAACCCTTCAAGATTTTTCAAATTCAGAGAAATTTGTTTATTCAGTTTATAGTGATTGGATTTTTTTTAAATGAAACAGATGGGAATAAAGGCAACCGTTAAAATGACTGTATTTATACGAATAAGATATAAGTACGTTGAGTCACGAAAAGGCTAAAACAGTGAGGAGGTTTGATAAGTCTGTTAAAACAGCACATTAAAATTCGGTATTGAAACCATTAAAATTGCAAATAAAAGATCCATAATGCCCTTCAGACAATACCTTTTATTTCTATTTTAGCGCTTTTATATTAATCAAAATACTTACGTCGTTCTAACCGCATGTACTAAACACCTATTATCTTTTATATTTACTTCATGACGTCATATGTGACTCTTTCCTTGCCCTGCGTGGTTACCTTTGGTTACAAGACGCGTTAAGCCAACATGGCGACTTCAACCTGTGCAGCCGAGTCCTGGATAACTCGATAACGAGCTTGCCAAACGTTTGTCCAAGTATTTGGCATGGCGCTTGATTATCAGAAAAAAACATACGTGCCACACAGACCAGAAACAAAATTTCGGTAAGTAGATTGCAGCAGGAAACAGAGGCTAAAGCCACCCAGATTGCTGTGTGAAATGCATGCTTACTGATACAAGCTAGAAGACTAACCAATCTGGTATAAACATAATATAATCGACAGTTTTCATCTATCAGTATTGCTAGCTGGACTATACGATTACAGATTTTAAAAAGAGGGATAAAAATAGAATAGGGGTGTCTTGACATATAAATGGAGGATCAAACGAAGATCTATAGCTTGAATCTTGAATGTTGGCCGAGAGTTTAAGCACAAGGAAAATCAGGAGTTTGTGTATAGGAGGAGGGGGGGGGTCGGGGGTACAGCCTGAACAAGTTACCTTTCTTGATGTTTTTTCGTGCCTTTTGTCAGGAAGTGTTGATGGGTTGTCGGCCTGCAATCTGCTGGCGAATGCAAAGATCCGGGTTGAAAGCGACCATAGAAAACCAATAACCGAGCCAGCTGTATGACGCCCGGTTCATCATTTCAGCGTGAATGTGCGTGTTAGAGATCAAGTTAATGTGAAATGCCCTCCTGGATAACATATATTATGCTTTATAGGTTGTTTTATACAAAATGGGTGCGTGACATAATTCTTCGAACGTAAAAATCTGGGCTTTTAAATAATATTGAAAATCATTAAATTGCGTGCGGGAGCAATTGATCAACCAGCAAGAGGACTGTTCTCGGTTAGTAACATTACTTGGGATCAATAGAACTTCTAATACGAGTGTCTGTGATTTCTTTCACAACAACGTGTGCCAAAGGTGCCCACATAATTGAATTTAGATAAACTGTCAGTTTCTTTCAACTATTGCGTGACCGATGTGTGACGGATGCTTTCTTAAAATGTGAAAAGATTATAAAATGGGACATTAACTGTAAATCTTTATTTCTTTTTCCACTAGAACAACATATAATTTGTCAAACCACTGGGTCGATTTTTTCGGACAAGAGAGAAAAATGCAAAAAGAAGCCAAGTTAAACTTACGGAGCCCAACCCAAATAAAGAAACTGTACGATGAGAGCAGACAATTGCAAAGGGATTTGAGAAGGCTCGAAAAAAATCCCCATGGAACACTCCCAGAATCTCTGCTAAAGACGGAAGTCTTTGACATCTTCACCCCAAACTTCCCGAGTCCGACAAAACAAAGAAGTCCAAGCTATTCCATGACTGAGAAAATGCGCCGAAGGTATGAGCCGAAACGAGATGCGATGGAGAAAGCCGCGGTCACAGACGACGCTTACGCGCATCACTTGGCTGATATGTTCCCAGAACAGGGTGATATGTTCACCCCCAACTACAAGCTGCCAGACTTAGGAAAAGTTGGACAGACTCACAATATACACCAACTGGTAAAGTTATTTAAGCACAAGAAGACACATTAATCGATTGATAAAAAAAGACTTTTGAAAATAGCAGTCCGATGGTATTAGATTTTGAACATTTGACTTTTAGTAAAAGAATTTATTTAATTTGATTAGATCAAAAGTTTATTATAAAGTATTTGATAAAATGCTAAGTGGACGCATGTGTGAAGACAAATAGTTATTTCCTTGGTAGTTCATATGCTCTATCTTCGAAATTTATGTCTGCCTGCCCCTACGTCGACCCATCCATCCATCCAACAACTCCTTTCTATACTTTCTTATTTTAATCATATATTTATCTGCCTATTTAATCATTTATATGTTTGCCTTCACTCCCAGGCACAAGGCAGTGACCCGGCTCACCTGCAGTATTTCGGCTCAGGTGGCTATGACGACTGGCACAAGGCATCTCTGAAAGCGTCTCTTCAGAAACAGATGATGATAGACCAACCTCATGTAAAGGATACGATATACGGCCCACAGAAGTAATTTAAATCTTTATACTTTAAAATAAAACAATACGATATCATTATTGAGATACAAAGAGTTTTCCAACTGCATAAAACCAATGGGAGTACAAGTTATACTTCCATGCTACAACATATCTACATGCATTTACATTCAAAACTGAAACTAGGAAATCAGATTTTTTTGCGTAAAACTGATGATAAGTTTAATGTCTGTCCTTTTCCGAAATAAAAGTTTTTTTTTTCTTAACTGACACCATGTTAAAAGAATGTTTTCAGAAACATTTACATCTCCTTTAACGCGTAAAGGCTCAGATAAGGCGGACTTTTAAAATTTTTTTTCTCGTGCTTTAGGTTGAGAAATGGCCATGCTGGCGGGTCTTGGCGCCACGTGAAGGAACCACTTCAGCCAGGAGGCAAACGTCTGCTGTTTGTAGACGGTAAGGACTGACCATAAGAAGGATCAATGGTTGTCATTACATTATCCACGTCATGTTTACTCTCTTCAATCAGATAGTATCCCTGCGATGGAAAAGCAAAATTTCTATATTAGAGGGATAACAACTGTTCATTTTGACCAAAGAAACGGATTGTCCGGGGGTAAACGACGATATACCAAAAGTTAATGAATCCATTCCGACATAAAAGTTTTTTTTTTTTTTTTTTTTGTAATAATCTCTAAAGAAATCATAACGGTGGTATAGTCATCTATGAAGGTCTACGTGGTCTAATAGGAAGCACAGATTCCAGAATAATTGCGATCACCGCTATTTTTGTGATTAAATGGAATTTTTTTTAATATTTTGTTTACAATGCATTGTTGTTTACAATGAGTTGATGAGTTGTTTACAATGCATTTATTGTGAAATACGAATCTCATGCGGCAATTGTTATCCCTTAAAGTATATAAAAATCGCACAGATGTTAAGATCTTTAAATCCGTCCGCTTCAAATCAGTAAAAATAACTTTATATCACTTTATATCTTTGCATTAAATATGAATCCTTAAATAGTTTTAGAAGAGTGGAACTGGGTAATTACAATATTATACCCTGTTTATTCGTGTGATATTTTATCTCCGCCCTTCACCCATCCTGACTTACCTCTTCCGTTTTCCCTTTAAGCGTTTTGTCAAAATATTTTTTTTATTCACACTCATCTTGGTCCATCTTGCAACCAGCTAGTTTACCCTTTCCTTTCCCCTTCTCTCTATCTCCGCCCCCCCCCCCCCCCCACACACACACATTAATTAACCATTTCTATTTAACTAAAACCATACAGGTGCCGTTGCCCGAGATGACTTGTACCGTGTGAGGACCAAGTTGATAAAAACACCAGAAACACTGATGAGGGAACCTAACAGTCACGACCTGTTCAGAGAAATCGTCAGACACAGGAAAGCAACTCCAATAAAAAGTAAGAGACGGCCCTAAACTGTGTGTATTTTTTTTCTACATTTTGGAAATGAGTACTAAACCAATTCTAAATTGAACCGATGTATTCCTGATCATATGATACAGTTGTATGAAGTTAACCATTCTTTGCAAGGAATTACTCGCCGTGCTTCTGAGATCAAGTTGTATGCATTGTGTTTGGTGTAATGGTTGTGGTAGATGATCCATTTCATGCTATTTTTTCACTATTCCAGCCACACACTACACCAGCCTATCTGCACACAAGGGAACGGAGAAAGGCAACTGGTATATCATGCGTTAGAACTATCAAAAAAAAAAGAGATTTCTAGTCTCTACAGATAGAGACAAAACCATTTAACTTTTGCTCAAGTTAACGTCGGCGCGTGAACTATGTACATTGTAGTGTTTTTTCTACTCTTAAGAGTGAATCACCCGCAGACTTGACAATTTTATCACAATTTATTTTTTCTTTAATGCCCTTTAGATATTTTAGAGGCATTATTTATTTATTTATTATTTTTTTTTTTCATTTGTCCGTTTGCTAATTTATTTATTTGCTGAAACGACCATATTCTGATATGTAGTTTATACTCCATACTTCATTTTACTGTTTTAATGGCGCACCAGCAGACTGACCCTGGCACGGTTTGTGATTGGTGAATATTTTAATTTAGGCCCCTATAATTAAGAATAATTTTTTTATAAAGGAGTGCTATTAATATGCTAGTAATCAACAGAAGACGTTTTTTATTCGAATGACATCATAGTCTACAGACTGACTGAATATATTCTTTATGAATTTTATGAAACATTTATACTTATTATCTTTTAAATAAAATTCATAATTTATTTCAAGTGAATGGTGTTGTGTTGTTTCAATATATGTTCCAGCAATCTTCGTTTATTTTTCAATCAATGATTCGGACAAGAGTGCAGCGAATACTATAAAACAAAAATTAACTTCCAAATCATTCTTACTGTAAATAATAATCTACGACATATAAAACGCAAGCACACAAACCGGTTACAAGGCACGTTTGGTTGTGTATTTCGTAAAAAGCTTAATCATCACTCTTCAATATTATCTTAATTCACGAAATAATCAGAGCTTGTCAAGTTAATGTTATAAAAATGACACCACACATTTTCAACGACCCCTTTATTTGGAAACTGTGACCCTTGTAAACAGGAAAAAAATCTCAAAAATCACTTACAAATTTAGTTAATTTGGGTCACTTATCTTTAAAAATTGAAAATGACACATACATTTCACCATTTATACGTATTGTTTCGTCATGACCTAGGTGATGTGTCGGAAAGATCGTAGTTACCACTAAAGTAGGGGTTGGTCACCAAAAGTGGTAATTGTGGTTTTACATTTATTTCTAAACGCATGGAAATTGTCCACGTGATGATAGAGATAGCGGTCAGTGTGGTCAACCGTCACTAACATTATGCTGCCTCTTTCCTTTATCAAATAAACAGACATTTTCGATATCCCACAGATTATATTAAAACCTACTAACAAGGTTTATATGTTTAAAAATTCGAATAATTTGGGCCAGGGAAAGCAAACATTGGCACCTGGGCCCCATTCAGATCGAGAAGAGCCGAGTGCTAGTTAGGCCGCGACCTAAATATGGCGGACCTACATGAAAGGAAGACCGCTTAATCCTGTAATGGTCTCTCTGCCTCTCACACACCATCCCACGCGTCGTCCCTGCAGGGGCACGGTAATTAAATCTCGGCTCAATTCAACCGGTCGAGATTCGACGCGTTAGGAGGCGTGTGAGAGGCGAAGAGACCATTACAGGTTTAAGCGGTCTTCCTTTCATGTAGCTCCGCCATATTTAGGTCGCGGCCTATCTAGCTCTTCTCGATCTGAATGGGGCCTTGAACTAGTTACTGTTTAATCATATTGTAACTACAGTACATAGTCTATGTTACATATAGTTATACATGTATGCTTCATATCTAAGACCCAATTCCAATAGACACCATCAGTCCACGTAGATCGATCCAACTTTGCAGGACTCTCGCTAAGTGCAATCAGCTTAACTGAATGACATGCCTGTTGAGTAGAAAACAGAAAAGCTGGTGATTATACAAGTACATTGCAAACAATATGAAGCGTGGCATTTAGTCAAGCTGATTGCACTCAGCGAGAGTCCCCGCAATTTTGGAGCCTAACGCTCATGTAAAGATCGCATGCATGTAAACTGTCTAAAGTAAAACGTTCTTCAGCAATTTTAATAGTAAACAACGATGGACATTCAGAAAATGTAATTGCAGTTTTATACCCATTGGAATCCAAACGCACGTCTTGAAAATGCCAATGTGGGAAAGAAAAAGAATTCACAAAGCTAATTAAATTCAAGAAAAATATTTCAATCGAGATAGTTTTCAAACTAGAGTTCTATTTTAGCCCCATGAATCTATACTGTTTAGCTTTAGAATAACATATAAAATAGTTTTCCTTTCGTAATTTAGAGAAAATTCCAGGAAAGTAAACAGCGACAACAAATGCAGGTAAATGCTCTAGTATGTCTGTCAATAAAAAGTTTTTCGTTAAAAATCTACATTTTCTGTATTTTATTATCCAATGACTACTAAAATACCATTTGGAAAATTATGGTCCGAGGAAACCAGCATCAGTCTTAGTCTTAGGTCCTCCTGTCCAAAGTAGGACATTGGGCTGCAAACTTTTTCCAACTTGTTCGGTCGGCAGCGGCCCTCTCTAACTCCTCCCACCTGATGTTGCCTCTTTGCAGATCATTCTGGAAGGTTCTCCTTCAGGTTATCCGTGGGCTACCGCGTTTGTGCTTGCCTCCTTGTGGTACCCAAATCATAACAGTTTTTGGATACTTCTCAGCTGGTAGTCGAATGATTTGTCCTGTCAATTTTATCCAACGAAACCAGCATGCGCATTGCATATATAATGGTGATGTACGTGGATATTGAGTGCAGTGTATTTCTGCCAACACTCCGTGCGCACAACCACACCACGTTTGTTATTATTCGAGACTAGAGGGGTGTACGGAACAAGTCAAGGATGAAGACATCAAATTTGGCTTTTTTTGCTGTAACAGGTAAAACCTTCATTTATGTCTCCTCCATCCCAGTGCACCACAAACTTATCGAGGAAAGAAAGTTCCGTTGCAGTTTGACGCACCACAGTCCATTACATGATGTCGTGTGCTCGTGTAATATGCATATAGCACATGTCCCGGCGACAAAGAAAAACTAGTATAAGAAAGTTCAGAAGAAAATTGTGTGTTCTTTGGACCGATTAATTTGGGGGAGGGGTAAAGTTTACCTCATTTTTCATACATTTAGCTGAACGTTTTTTCTTTCGTCCCAAACTTGGACGTGGACAGTTTTTAGAATGCATGAATTCTGACTTTTATGTTATTGCGTACTAGTAATTTTATCTATCACCCAGGTATCTCTGCTGAACATATCTAACCATTCATTTTCAATCCTGAAAACTTAAGTTATATTACACTTAGATTAAGCTATAGGTAATAATTTATCAGGTTACCGGGGTTGGTAAATCTCGTGGACAAAAGAGAAGATGAAACCTAATAGAAAACACAATGGCCTGTGGTAGACCTCATAGTGAATAATTTTCAAGGTTACCTGGGATGGTCAATCTCGGACAAAAGACAAAATAAAGCCTAAAGGAAAATGCATATGGCCCGAGTAGACCTCACGACTTCTACTGCTACAAGAGAGATCCTACGAAAATAGGCTGAGTTCAACTGAAGTTTTCACTGGTCTTTTAGTGTAAAAATATATGTCGAATACAAAAGCAAACTATGGGTAAATAAATAACAGTTGCGATGAAAATTATTTATCTCAGTCAACAAATAGCATCATGAGTCCCCCGTGCATTATAGTTGTAATGATTATGGGACAGGGTGATCAGTTGTCTAGCACGCAGCAGATTTCGTAACAAGACTTAGCATCCGTAGACCGGCTGAAGTATTTGGGGGAGGGGGGGGGTGCGCAACGACGTCAACTAGACAAAATTGTAAGTTCAGTATTAGATTTTAAAACGTATGTTATACGTTATGATTCTCTTGTTCTCGTTGTCAGATCAGAATGTCAGAAAATGAAATGAANATGCAGGTAAATGCTCTAGTATGTCTGTCAATAAAAAGTTTTTCGTTAAAAATCTACATTTTCTGTATTTTATTATCCAATGACTACTAAAATACCATTTGGAAAATTATGGTCCGAGGAAACCAGCATCAGTCTTAGTCTTAGGTCCTCCTGTCCAAAGTAGGACATTGGGCTGCAAACTTTTTCCAACTTGTTCGGTCGGCAGCGGCCCTCTCTAACTCCTCCCACCTGATGTTGCCTCTTTGCAGATCATTCTGGAAGGTTCTCCTTCAGGTTATCCGTGGGCTACCGCGTTTGTGCTTGCCTCCTTGTGGTACCCAAATCATAACAGTTTTTGGATACTTCTCAGCTGGTAGTCGAATGATTTGTCCTGTCAATTTTATCCAACGACACCAGCATGCGCATTGCATATATAATGGTGATGTACGTGGATATTGAGTGCAGTGTATTTCTGCCAACACTCCGTGCGCACAACCACACCACGTTTGTTATTATTCGAGACTAGAGGGGTGTACGGAACAAGTCAAGGATGAAGACATCAAATTTGGCTTTTTTTGCTGTAACAGGTAAAACCTTCATTTATGTCTCCTCCATCCCAGTGCACCACAAACTTATCGAGGAAAGAAAGTTCCGTTGCAGTTTGACGCACCACAGTCCATTACATGATGTCGTGTGCTCGTGTAATATGCATATAGCACATGTCCCGGCGACAAAGAAAAACTAGTATAAGAAAGTTCAGAAGAAAATTGTGTGTTCTTTGGACCGATTAATTTGGGGGAGGGGTAAAGTTTACCTCATTTTTCATACATTTAGCTGAACGTTTTTTCTTTCGTCCCAAACTTGGACGTGGACAGTTTTTAGAATGCATGAATTCTGACTTTTATGTTATTGCGTACTAGTAATTTTATCTATCACCCAGGTATCTCTGCTGAACATATCTAACCATTCATTTTCAATCCTGAAAACTTAAGTTATATTACACTTAGATTAAGCTATAGGTAATAATTTATCAGGTTACCGGGGTTGGTAAATCTCGTGGACAAAAGAGAAGATGAAACCTAATAGAAAACACAATGGCCTGTGGTAGACCTCATAGTGAATAATTTTCAAGGTTACCTGGGATGGTCAATCTCGGACAAAAGACAAAATAAAGCCTAAAGGAAAATGCATATGGCCCGAGTAGACCTCACGACTTCTACTGCTACAAGAGAGATCCTACGAAAATAGGCTGAGTTCAACTGAAGTTTTCACTGGTCTTTTAGTGTAAAAATATATGTCGAATACAAAAGCAAACTATGGGTAAATAAATAACAGTTGCGATGAAAATTATTTATCTCAGTCAACAAATAGCATCATGAGTCCCCCGTGCATTATAGTTGTAATGATTATGGGACAGGGTGATCAGTTGTCTAGCACGCAGCAGATTTCGTAACAAGACTTAGCATCCGTAGACCGGCTGAAGTATTTGGGGGAGGGGGGGGGTGCGCAACGACGTCAACTAGACAAAATTGTAAGTTCAGTATTAGATTTTAAAACGTATGTTATACGTTATGATTCTCTTGTTCTCGTTGTCAGATCAGAATGTCAGAAAATGAAATGAAGAGTATAGGCACTTAATATGCAAAGTACTTATCTGATCGTTTCATTTGCGTCATTGGGACTTCAACTTTACCATGCTAATGCCATTCTCGTTCAAAACACTGTCAATTATGTTTGCCTAAGTGGCGGCGCATATATATAGCTTATAATTCACCAAGATAACTTTTTTTACGGTTCAGTCAGTGCACGCGCGCGTGTAAAGTTAGAATGGTTATTAGATTGCAGTAGAAACCGGTGGGATCCTTCCCCACCATAAATAAAAGATGTTTTTAAATTAACACAAATGTAATATTAGATTGTGATAGACTGCATCTTCCATGCATAGCCTTCAGTTGTTTTTAAAAGACGACATGTTTATCGCACAAACTATTGTGTCACCGAGTAACCTGCCAAGCGATCGGTATAAGGCCAGGGCCATTTTCTTGGAAACCATCACTGTCTCAACAGCGAACTGATCCGTTCGCGATCTGATCCATTCGCGCCTTCTAGAACGGCCTTCTAGAACGGTCTAAATGGCAAATGAAATTCATAAAGTTTCGCGAAAAGCAATTGACTTTGTGTTACAGAAATACAACGAAGGACGTGGTATTGCCAGTGTCTTTCGAAGGTTTACCTGTACCATACGGACAATGTAGATAAGGAGATGACTAGGAGTGATGAATTAGATGCTAAAGAACTGAAGAGATGCCTATTTGAGCTAACAGGTAATTTTTGTAATTTTTAGTCTGATTGGTTTTTTAACGAGAAGCTGAAATTTGATTCAAAGATCAGGATTATACCAATAACGGACAAATCAATATAGGCCCCCTATATTTTTTTCAATATTCTTTTCTAATTCTGTAATTCTGTAAGCTGTAAGGGGGTAATTAACTTTTGTGCGCGCTCGGCTCTCGGAACCTGACAGCAATTTAGCGTGAAACCCCAAGGAGTTAGGTCGATCCGGATAGATCGATCTAAATCTATGGGAACCCAGTCCTAGTTTAAATGTTCACAGAGGGAAACGTCTTGATTGGTGCCGGAAAGATATTTTAGATACATATGACGATGTAATTAAGGCAGGTAATTTGTTTTTTCGACAGCAAACAAGTGTGCTTAATAAAATACGATATTAATAAAAAATGACCGCCTCAACAGCACTGTCTGGAAATATTGTATCGATGTATGTTTTTGTTGTAACATGTTCATTTTATTAATTTAGGAGCAGACATAGCCTACTTAGGCTTTTGTTATTGTGAATTGAGACACACACATTAACACTTAAATATTACAACGCAATATTTCCATATTTACACATTAATATTTCCACTACAGATGAGCGCACCATATGTATGGAGTCCACAGGCAAGCTAATCTCCTGGAAAGTTATTCTGAACGAGCAAGTCAAGAGAGGTCAGTGGCCACGAAGAATGATCCTCCTTGCAGGAGGAAGTACGACGAATATTGTAGTGTTTTGGTATAATGGAATTGAACTTTTACACGGGTATATTAGGACATGCTCTGTGTCCCGCTCTACAAGAGATGTTCTCCAATGACCACATGACTAATGACTTTATGGTGCAACATGGTCTGCCCTTGCCTGAATCCGATTGAAAACGTATGGGCTGAACATAAACACCACCTCCGCACGCGCATTAAACCCACTACTTTCAAGACCGTCTCTTAGAAGGCATACACGAAATTTTGGGTCCTTCTGGAACAGCTAAATGTAACAGATATATGAATCGTTTAAATATGGTCGTGCAAAGGGCGTATGTCTTTATTTTAAAACAAATAAAAATATAAGGAATATTAAGAGATATGTCTTGAGATATTTTTGGACTTTTTGTTCTCAGTTCAAATAAATTATTTTAACTACGTATAAGGTAGACGTGACTTTCCATAACTAATCAACTTACTGGTAAATTAGGAGAAGGGTCAATAAATGTTTTGCTCTCCATTTTTTATTTGATCTGCCTTGACTCTAGTCTTTCGATGCAGTTTGACACATCATTACCCATAGTACTCATGTTAGATACATGTAGCACATGTAAAGGAAAACTAGGATGAGTAGTTAAGGTCCTTTGGACCAACCGATCGGGAAATGGGGGATGAATTTAATTTTACTTCATGATGCTCCTACCATACTGTCTCAATTGTCAGACCCAATGTTGAATAGTAAGGGGGCATTTCTGCGGTACTGTGTTATCGAAGTCTCCCATACGTATAAAAATGAATGTAAAGCTGTTTTCTCGGAGTTATGTAGAGCATGTTGAATGACATAGAAATTCTTATTCTGAATAATGAAATCGACATTAGCTCTTCCGAAGTCCTGTTGTGGGTTTGAACGAGCTAGCGAGCGAGATAAGCCATTCATTGGATAAAAAAAAACTCAACGCTGTATATCACTATACTGAATGATAAAAAAAACTCATGATCATGCAGCATTGTGCCGTCGTACATGTATATATACTGTTGAGCATGTAATTTGTCGTAATTTGATTCTAATAGTTAATAAGCCTGTTGTTCAGCCACCTATCAGCTGATGGTTTATTTCTGGAAGTAATGTTGGTGTACTTCGTGGGCTGTTTTTTTTTACATACCTTGACATAAAATCGAATGTCCACTCTTCTTTAATGTAACCATATTGTATTGATGAATTCAATTATCCAACTTTTGATTAAGGATATAATTGGAATGTATGTTATAAATGTTATTCGTTATGTTACTCGTTGCTTAAAGGAGTTGCAAATGGTAATGACTGGTTTAAATTTTGTACTTCATGAACTATACAAATGGCCTTTTCAATGTATTAAACGCTTAATCTTCACGATGACATAATAACTGTACCCATTATATTGTTTCCTTGTGACACAAAAATCCCTTTGTATAAAAAAATACATCATATGATATAACACGGAATCTCCTGGACTACACATCAAGTTGCCCAGGTCCCGGTAACTTTACATTCATCTGTTTGTGAAGACTAACAATGCATCTACCCCTCTCAAAAGGGCCTAATTAGCATACATTTAATTGGCCTTGTGGTTAGAGTGTCCGCCTCCGGAGCGGGAGGACGTGGGTTCAAACCCCGTCCGGGGACATACCAGTCCTTTATAAACGGTACCTGCTGTCTCCCCGCTTGGCACTCAGCACTAAGGGGTTGAAGCAGGGGCCTGGTCTGGTGGTGCAGAAATGAAATGTTAACTCTGAGCGCCTAATATGGCAGCCGGGTTGTATCCTCCCCAGGGAGGTGAGAACGCCTATAGAGTGTAATTGGGCAAAAATGACCAGGCTTTTCTCACATACATTTCATTTAAATAAATAAATAAAGTATATATATATATATATTATGTAAAACTTCAACCTTCGGGTTGTAATATTCCAATAAAGATTATTATTATTATACATGTTACTCAAGAACTCGCTTGATAGCGAATTCAACTCTTCAGTTTCTTAATTCTTAACGTTCAATTCAAACGCATATATTGCACTTTTCATTTTGCAGTTCAATTGATAACGACTGTTTTCACGCCTCTTGGTGCTAAGCACTACCCCCAGTACGCATACATATGGGGAACGGACGATTGGCAATATACCAACCTAACCGACATCAGGTACCACTTTACTAGCAATCCTGAGAAGGACGGAGATACAAACGTACCAAATACCATTCAGTGTACTGAAAGAAATGATATCAACAACCAAGACATAGACAATATTGGCTCAAACACGCCAATGATGGACTACAGGTTGTGGGTTCCCACACAGAAAGAACTTGAAATTGAAGGTAATGAGAAGCCGTGTTAAAATCAAATTGCCTAAAATTGTTTTGCGATTTTTACCTCTAAGAGTATTGTCGCATCTTTTTGGTGAATCTTCGTTTCTAGTATTTCATTTAAATTTCATAAATCATTATATATGTATAAAACATGGCATGTTGCTAAAAAGTACCTAGTCTGGTGGGTATAACCTATATTGTGTATTTACAGAATCAAGCAGGCTGGTGACAATGTCTGACTTGTTCAGGAAGGATATACCAGCAAACGGTGTGTTCATTACCGAAGTGCCAAGAAGTGTTAAATCATTCTTCACCAACTACAAGTACGTGGCGCACTGCGGTCTAAGTAAAAGCAACCGCAACATGGTAGCCATTCGTATGGCCATGCCACATCGTATCCTGCCTTTCGTAGGTCCCGATCTAAAAGTATTTTCTTCGGTCAAGCCTCCAGAAATTCTCGTCCGGCATTGGGAGCGAAAACTGGGCAGCCGCGTTAGGCCAAGATTTACATGTCTTACAAAGAGCCATGGTAACACCACATATGTGTGTCCTTATCCCATTGAACAGTTACCGCTTCACCAACAGCATGTGGAACCTGATGCATACTATAAAGTCCTCAGCAAGAGGTTTGTAAGTGAAGTTGATGTAACACAACCAAAAATCTTCACCAATGCTACGATCCCTTGCGTAGTTAAATTGACTCATGGCATGGGAGGCACTGCTGTATTTTTGATAACAAACGAAACCGAACTACAGCTGACACAATCAAAGATCATGACCACGCACCCCGATGCGGATCTAATCGTTACAGAGATGATCACAGATCTGGAATCTCCAGAATACAGTGCCCACTTCTTTGTTGACAAATCTGGGAATGTTACTTGGTGGGAGGTGGTCGAGCTCATTGAAGATGCCAATGGACATTCCATTGGAACTATGTGGACAAAGAATAATGGCCGTTTAAGACAAATCATGGAGCCATTCGTAAACAAAGTTGCCCAGGCCCTGCACCAAAATGGCTACTATGGGCCTGCAGGATGCGACGTCCTGCATAATGGTAGGCAGGGTTACTTGGTAGACATCAACCCGCGAATGACCTGTTCTATGCCTTTATGTCTGATGGCTAGGGAAATGGAAAGACGTGGCTGGTCAGTTGGCGTTTTGACCCGTCAAAGAACACTAGACGGCACCTTAGATGACGTCATAGCTCGCGCTGAAAGCATCTCGGATGGGGAGGTGGTAATACTGAGTGGAGGAGAGCTAGAAGGGGGCGCCATAATGGCCTACGTCGCAGTCTTTTCAGATAGCCGAGAAGCATGTGAACACATCATTAGCAACAAGCTTCCTTTTATTTGCACATCATCCCGACTTTCAAGAACTGAACGCTAAGAGGATAACACGGGCGTGTATTAGTTATTTTTAGGATGCGAATGACTGCGAGTGCAGTTTTGTCTCTTTTGCTTCCAGGTTGTATTTTAGCAACAAATATGAGTTCTTGCCACATGTACTCCCAAAAGGTCGATCATTAAAAAATGTGATATACTGTATTTGACTTGAGTATTAGCACAATTTGGGAGTGCTTGCCATCTCCAAAGAGAAAATGTTTGCCTTATTAGTAGTAAACTCAAATAAATTCAGTCAATGTATTATGAATTTCTTTCATTTCGAACATTTCTCGCTTCTTGAAATTAACCTTTCTTGTAATCATAAAGCACAAGCAGAGTGTAATTAGACCTAGAAGTGAAAGGAAAAAATCAGATCATGTTTTTTAATATTTCTATTAATATTGAAGCAATGTCTGTACATATGATTCATAGTGAAACATCAACACGAACCGGGATTCCTGCAAGTCTTATCAATTGTACTGTGTCCAACGCTTCTGTTGTACTGTCAATTCAGCATTTAAAAGTATAAATTTCTAGCTGATGCAAAGTTTGAAACATCAACATACAAAAACCTGGATCTGAAGACGAACCACGATTGCTCTAAGTCTTATCAATTGTACCATGTCCAAGGCTTAGGCCTATGATGTACTGTCAATTTCGCATCTGAAGGTGAAAATTTCTAGCGGATGCAAATTTTGGAAGGGTTAATCATGGGTAGGCCTAAATTTGTATGTTCATAAACAACTCTCTAGCTTAAAGATAAAGCGGATGAATTTTTGTGACCCGGTCAACTTTTCAGATTTAATAAGGTCCCTGTTTCACAAAAAAAAAAAAAAAAAAAAAAAAAAACTGAAATTGGCTTTTTAACACCTCTTAGACGGAGTTCCCATACCTAGATGGATCGAACAGGATTGATCCATCTTCGAGGGGTTTTCCTCTAAATTGCTTTCAGCTTAAGCGGCTTAGATGTCTGGCACGCCTAATGAAGCTGCTAAACGATAATTAATTACCCCCTAGCAGCTTCAGTAGGAGTGGCAGAGAATAATTAACGAACTATATTCGTTCCCCGCTTTTCGTCCTGTAACGCATGAGAGACGATTCCATGCCATCGCTGTTTAACCGCCGATTCAGCATCGCAACGTGCTTTTCCAACTATGTGAAGTTTTAAGTGTTCTCATCCCTGATAATTTTTATTTGTTTTAATGTTACATTTTCCAAAATTTATAAATATAAAGCAAAATACGGTGCATATTCTAAGCGGAAAGCGTGCTCACAAGATCAGAGTCATGTTGACATTTTGATGCCCATGTCCCATTGCTGTCACCTAATACCGTGAGCGTGCTCATCTGAAAAAAATAGACACTTTAGTATTCAGAGATATTCTAGTTTCTCTATTCTGCTGTAAATGTTCTAGCAAATAATTGATATACCCACTTTAGTGGTCAATAAAACAATCTTTAAAGCAGGGAAGTGGAACAAATTGCAACAGTAGTGCACATTTTCCATACTTTTTATCAGTAGTGCATAAAGATGTGGACATTCAAAAAGAACTTTAAACTCTCGCTGCCATCTACTAAATGCCCTGAATATTTGCAACATCGTGGCCTTCTATGTTCAGCATCGTAAGCAAAGGACAATATAGATTCCCAGAAAAATGGAACCTTGAAATACTGATGATTGACCTTAAACGTGACTCTTTGTTGTTTTTTTGTCTGTTATTGGTAAAATAATGAGTTATTTCCATCGCCGTTAACATTTCAGCCATCATTTCTAATGTACAATTAAAGGTGTAATTTTGCTGTGACAAATGAACACTTAATTGATTTTATTATAATGGCACTATGCTGTACATCCTACGATGTGTACTAATGTCATGTCACATTGGCAAATATGGTATCTTTCCTGTATCATTGGTATAATGGAAGTAATTTAAAATTTGCTTGATAGTGCTATTAAGTACTTAATGATGTCCAAGGTTAACGCGTGGTTTTTCTAGCGCACATGCCATTGTGCTCCCTCATTATCAAGTAATATTTCCCTTTTTCGTGTGTTTTTTGTTTAATTCTTTCTGTTTAGTCGAAAGTTATAAGAAGTGGAGTGAATTAATTACTATTTAGCCCCTGAATGCGGAGGTGAGTGGGTGCTCAGTAACATAAGGTTCCTATAGAAGAACGTTGCATTTACATACTTTTCTGTCATTCTCAACCCTTCACTTTTTTATTTCTATCATCTACACGAGCAAGAAAAAGTTTTGTTTTAAATTTTGCGAGCTTAAACTGAGATTTCACACATACATTTAAAGGAAACCCCAATCATATCGTTTGAAAATCAAAAGTAAGTTACATAGAAATCGCCTGATTGCCAAATTGATCTACCGTCTCTGCCACTGAACATGCTGCGTCAGTGTATACATGTACGTCCTTCTCAAACGCCTACCTGATCTTGTTGTAATAAAGGTGACCAAAGGTTTACGGTGGCGCTGGGAAGATAAATCGGTCATTTCAAGAAAACTAGAAGGGCACTTTGCCCTTAAAAGACAAATTCAATTACTTTATTGGATTGTGAGGTGGTTCTTTATTCCTTGGTCTGCTATATAACGGTTTGTTCAAGGGTGTGCTGAAGCTTTCTGTCGCCTTTTTTGTCACAGTTGATTCCACATGCCAGGTGCTTTGAAGGTAAGGGATTCATTATATATGGTTGGATATAAGATACGGTTAACTAACAGAAAGAATGGTATCTAATATTCAACATTTACCATGTATTGCCTCAATTTTCATTGCAGACGACATTTCGACATGCAACCGGACAAGTCTTCCAAATATTGCATTCTAGGTGGCATGGTGTTGCTGCTGCTACCATTTGGTGTAACTTTACCAGGTAGGTTCTGCCATTATTAAAACACCAAAAGATGAAAGGGGATTATTGGGGTTGGCATTGACTCAATTTAAGTACGATTTTGAGAACATTTCGGTGCTTTTGCCCTTAAAGAGAGTTTTCATAATATTGTAAGGAATGATTTTACTCTAGAATGTCATCGGCCGAAAAACGTTCAAACTATACAACAGTTGATGACAATAAACAATAAATAAATAAATGAAAAAAAAAAAACGAATGAATGGATTAAATAAAAATACGAATCAAATGAATGAACAGAAAAAATGAAATTATGAACCAAACATAATTTATTTTAGTGCATAGGCCTACGCAGGAGGACCATCTGCAACTGAACAGCAACACGAAACGGCACCTGGACCGTGCAATACGCGACTGCATGAATAGTCGTTCATCAAATGTGGATCATCCAGCGACAGACGCTTTAGTCGACTGCATCCTCTCTAGATCCATAGAAAACCTTCCTATACTGGATAATAACAACTTTCATAGACATTTCACGCTGGACCAAAGTTCCCAAAACACAATCATTGTCAGGAGATCGGGGCATAGTTTTGAAAAGCGTCCGTTCACCGTGGGTCGGTACAAGCCGTTTTATCCCTACGGGAAACCAGTATATGACGAGAATGGGTGTGTTACTATCGGAAAATACCACCTCTGTTCTATGCGATAAAAATTTAAGAACATCGAATATTGCAATTTTTCTCGAGATCAGTTACACTTTATCTTGTGAAAATATTGTACATATATTTTTTAAGCACCGGTTTCTGTAAAGGAGAAGAATGAAAAACAATGTTAACAATTTGTTGTCACACGCAGTGGCGGTCTTGAACAAACAGTGCTATACATGTCTTTGATCAGGTAGGCAAATGGAATCTACAAAAACTTTTCATGTTTAGAATAAAAATCAATTACGCTATTCAAGCGTTTGATTTTTGATATGCGATCTATGACCTATTAACTGCAACTATACTGATATGTTTTTATAGGTATAAAATGTCAGCCTAACAAAACAACGTTCCGCTGTCTAGTTATTCTGCTTCTAGGTTCAATTACCACACTGAAATTTTTCTCATTTTTTCTGCATTTTTTTTTTTTTTTTTTTTTTTGTAGCATAGATACAACTGAGAGAACCCTTAAAAGCCTGATGTACTTCAGCANAAATTAATATTTTAAGTTTTTAAAATTGTCTTAGTTAAATCGTTTTCAAATGTCTCCACTTAGCAGCTATGAATTTTGACTCATCCTCTCGGTTTCCTAAATTTTGTTCATATTTCGTCTTAAGTGATCTGAATGACGGGATAGCAAGTTTGGGCTCACTAAGAATATCCCAACGAGAACGTTTCCTAATCCCAGGAAGTTCGGACACACCCGTCTCACTGGTAGTTGTCGCAACTCCATCCTTGCTGCTAGGATTCTGGGTGTTATTCTCCGTGCTACTAGTTGCATATGATTTAGAAAACAGCGACGGAAATACTGGGGCAGTGTCCGGTCTATCCAAAGTATTTTTCGATTCCTTTAAATGTTCGTCCTGCCGCTCAAGCGAAGCTGTCGAGCTTTTGCATTGACGTGGTTGTTGTATCGGTGGCGTAAAACAGCTGGAACTTTTGTTAATATCTATCTTCATTTTGTTAACGTGCACTAAGTCTTTCCGCATCTCTCTTTCAAAAACTCTGTGATGACGCTCAAATACGCTAAGTTTGAGATCCAAAATCTTTTTCTCGCGTCTGTTAGCGGTACGGATTTCAGTCGTAAGCTCCCGACTTATATATTTACTTTTTCCCGATGTTTTTCTATTGTATCCTTTCGCTTTTCGTTGGTATTCTAGTTTTCGAAGTTGTTCGTTTGACATAGTCGGTAACTATGCAAAAAATGACTGGCTTTACACAAAAAAAAAACACCACACCAACAGTCTTAGTTGAATCTCTTGGTCATTTCTCTTCATTCACAAGCAACAAGTCAATTCTGAATTCTATAACTTATCCTAGGCGTTCAGGCTATTACGTCTGTTGTCTGCTGGTGTTAAGGCCAGTCTAAGTTAGGCCTAGTTTAACAACCTTTGACACAGGCTAACGTCCAACGGCTACCACGTATTCTTCTCCTGCTATTGGAGCAATTAATTTTACACCCCTAGCTACATCTCAATCGATGGAACGTCGACCCCTTGATTGGAAATCTATTACTCTTCGACTTGCTTTCAACATACCAATGGTTGCTATGAATAATAAATGAACACCTTTGGTGATAATCTATGTAATTTGCAATAACATGTGTTCACTTCTAGCTGGTGTATAGTTCTTGGTGTGAAAATCACTCCCGCGGTACTTGGGTCGAGTTGTTTAAACGATTTCATGTTAATGAAGTTTTCTCAATAAATAAGTCTATGATTGTTCACTCGTTTCAAGTTGTCACATATATTCTTAAAATGGGCAGCCATTTCGATCAAACATAAAGGCCCGGATAAAAGGAAAAGAAAGCACGCCTCATTGAGCTAATCTTAAAACATCGAAAGGCAATTTATACAGGTAGGTATATTTGAAAATAAGATAAGCATTATGTTTGCTTTGCGATTATTTTCGATGTTAATCCCCTGCTTACATAAGTCCTTTTATTCAATTACTTCTGTCTGCGTAAAATATACGCCCCTCTTAAACTAATGTTTAAATTTCGAATTGTCATACATACAAACAAGTTAATACATAAATCATTTCCTGTATTGACGCGATATCTTTCACTTAAATAGAAGTAAAAGTGCTTAAACAAATTTAAAAAACCACAGTGTACATATTTTTTTGCACCTTTATGAAGTTTTCAGTTCTACATGTATGCAGCACTCCCAGCCTATAGCTTTAATGAAATGATTTTGCCGTTTCGATCCTTTTCTTAATCCTTTGGAAAATGCATATTCACAATAAACAAATGACATTGAACAAAGTGTATTTATTTTACTACAACAATAAAAAGATTCACCATAATGCCACGTGTGCAGCAAGAAAATAACACTAATGGCTGCCCAACAGTTCTCCAAACGTGATTGACCACGCCGGAAAACGAGATTTAAGAGCAGTACGTTTGAAGGCATATGAAGACTTTTGAGAGGAACTTACGCAACTATAGCAGCTTAGGCATAAAATGCATAATGCACAACACTAAAATGCATTACTAAAATTACAAATTCATTCACAGAGCTTTGAGATATGACTTAGACTCTCTGACACCCTCATTTTTACTTTGAATTCAAATTTTTCAATCTACAATACCCCTACATTTTGCTGTGTGTAATGTCCTTTTTTTATCAAATCTACAGGATCAAGGTCTTTACATCTAACTCCAAGGCTAGCCTAAATCACAAAAATCCTTTGAATGCTTTCTGACTAGTCCAAATAAATTCTGTGAAAGTCATTGGCTCCAAATCCAGCATTACATTTCGGACATTTTCTCTGTCTCGTTTCATACCGAGTCTTTAGGCATTCTAGACAGAACACATGGAAACATTTGGTCAAAACAGCATCTTTTCGTTTGACTTTACAAGATGGGCATGTCAGCTGTTCCTGAAATACAAAAGGGGTCATGTTTTTCAATAATAGTTTTGAAAGCAAAGAGTCTATACCGCCTGTCTGTTTAGTCTATACCGCCCTGTCTGTATTGATCAGTGTGGTTTAACAATAGTACAGGAGGACCCCAGCCCCAACCCTAATGCAACTCCTCCATTGAAGTAATTCAAGGCCAGTAAATCCAATATTCTACTGATGCCTAATTAGTTCTGATTAATGTTCCCTTTGATATAGTCTAAGCACAGCTAACCTGGCTGACCTTTTCCTGACAGATATCAAATGAAAGTCTAACCCTTCACCCACTCCTTCACACAATGCACAAGATATCTACTTAGAGATCAGTTTAAAAAATATCCCTGAAAAGCTTGATGTGAATATAATCTGACAAAAGACTAACCATACAAAACAACTTGGCTGTAAAAAAAAAAAAATGACAGGTTGGAAACAGGTAAACACAAACCTTGTATTCCTTAAGTTCTTCCATCAGCACAGCATCTGCGGTTCCAGCTAATTCTATTTTTTTGTGCCTCTCCAGCTTTCTACGGAGGATAGCCACATCTTCCTATAAAAATACCAAATGCTTTAAATAAGCAAATTCCTCTCTTTAACACTTAACTTTTGATTTGATTTGATTTGTTGCTAGAGTTTATCGGACAAGGCAGAAAAGTCCTTGCTCCTACCTGTATTCTTCTGTATTTAAAAGACTCCTGTTCCATGGCCCCTGTTTTCTCTGCTACTGTGATCTGAGCATCTTTCAACTGGTTCTGGTATTTTTCAAGGTGAAGTCTCAAGTCTGCTGCAGTCTGGGAACTTTCCACAGCTTTTCTCTTGTGCATTTCCAGAGCTTGTTGCCGCAGACTGAAACCAAAAAATTCAAGAGTATCCTTATTAGTCTGTTTATAATTACACATCATTCACATTTACTAATTCACTTGTAATCACTTCAATAAAATGAATTTTCTGGGATTATTTGTTTAAAATAAAAAAACAGTAACAAATGAGAATGTTTCTACAGCATGTTAAATTTACAATTTATATTTGTTACACCATGCTTTCCTCAATGACATAATCTATTAAATACCAATTTTGTATATCTCTGAGTCACTAAAAATAAAACAAACAATCACACCTCAATTCCTTTTCTACTGTTGCTAAATTATTCTGGAGTATTCTTTCTTTTTCTTCCAGCCGTCTGACAACTAAGTTTTGGGTTTCCACTTGCTGGTGTAACGTAGTCACCTGTTCCATTAAGACATCTTTTTCCTCTTTCAACAATTTATGAATCTGGTTGGATTTTATTCTCTGCAATCAAATGTTAAGATAAGTAATCATATTGCTCAATATCAAACATCATGCACAATGATCCAGGAAAAAAAACACAAGTTAAAATATTGTTTGCTAATATATAACAATAATGCATATTGCTTACACATTCCATGCACTGCTCCTACAGTATATTGTGACTGAAACTAAATAATATCTAACTAATAATGTCTGACTTATACTGAACATTTGTGATAGTATGCCCACCCAATACATGTGTTAATACTATTATTCTGGTCAGCATACCTCTGACATCAGCTTAAAATTGGCATCGTCTTTCTCTCTAAGCTGCTGTATCAACCTGATATTCTGCTCCTGCATGTCTTCAAAAGCCTGACCAGTGACTTCCATCTCATTCAATAGTGCTTCTTCCTCCTGAATAATATTGTTCAAATTGAATATAAAAACTGCAAACTGCATTTTAGGCAGGTCATATTGGACAGGTTAATGACACAGTTAAAAGAAGCATGTAACAAACAACACAAGGAAGGAAATTTAATATGAGATAATACTCTAAAGTACCTGTTTTTGAGCTGCTAAATTCCTCTGTAGATCTGCTATACTCTCTTCCAGCCTTTTTATCTTTCTTATAGCTTCATCCTCTGCAAGTTTTCTCTTTTCTTTCCTCTCTGCTTCCTGCATCTTTCTGATGTGGTTCTTCAGCTCATCGATGTCCTGTTTAGCCTTTTTTTCACCAGCCATGAGCTGTACTTTGTCTCTCTGTTCTTTGGGGGCGCTCTTGTACATGTCCAAAAGCAACTTCATTTCTTTTTGACTGTCCTGTGCTTTCCTAATAAATGATAACTGAGGTTTTATGGTCTGCGTCATGGAAGCACAAGTTCACCCTTTCTCCTTTTCATAATTTTACTGTAAACATCATCATCCTCA